GGGCAGGGTAGCGGAAGTTTCCCTCCATCCCTCTTTGCAATGCACTAGGGAAACCATCACAAATCTCGTTTAGCAAAATAATGCATTATTACCAAACACTTTGATTATTACTTAAATTGTCAAGCTGTGCTGTCAAATGGATACAATACAGCGTTAAAGGAGAACAAGACTGGTGCCTGCACGGAAACTGGCTGCGCGCGCCCCCTCCCACCCCACCCCAGGCCTCCTCCCAAGTGCTCCTAGACCGCGGATGCGCTGCTGAAACCTCGTTTCCCTCCATCATTATTATTATTATTATTATTTTTAATAAGACACAAAGGGGGGAGGGGGGGAGGAAAAAGATCCTGGCTAAGAGCGAAGGCGGCGCAGGCATCAAGCACGGTGCTGCAGGGAAGGGACGGAGGAGCCCTTACGGAGGTCACGTTGATTGTCTCGCCATAGTTTTCGCCGCGTGGAGGGGAAGGTAACACGCCGTAGCGCAGAAGCAAGGCCGAAAGAGGGATCGCTTCTCTTCTCTAAACGAAGAAACTGAAACGCACGGTGATGCTCCGAAAAACAAGGGTGGGGGTGGAGGAAAAGCGGCATTCTCCGTGTGCGCTAAGGAACGCTCTCACCCTGGCTAGGGGAAAAAGCCACGTTCAAGTGAAACGGTGCTGGGGTCCCGTCCCCCATCAGCGATGCTGAAGCCACACGGCATCGAGAACCAGGGCAGGAGAGGCAGGGCTGCTTCCCGCCCGCGGCAGGCACGGGACGCCCCGGCTCTGCTGGCGCCTCCGAGCTTTCCCCAGAGCCGGGGCATCGCTCAGGAGGACGGGGCCACCGCGGCCCCGGGGTCCGCCCTGCCCCAAACCCGTCTCCATCCCTGGGAATCGCTGCCCACGCTGGGGACTGGAGCCAAGGCCGGGGGCGGCTCGGCCCCTCCGTGTGCCTGAAAAAGTACTTTAGCCCTTGAAGACGACGGCTCAAGACTTTGGACCCATTTTCCTGCCCCGCGGGGAGGGTGAGGGCCAGCAGCGAGAAAAAGAGATAAA